AGCCCAAGAGTTTGAGGTTGCTGTGAGCTATGACGCCACAGCACTCTACCAGGGATGACAAAGTGAGACTCTGTCTCAAAAACAAAGTAAAATAAAATAAAGCTCTCTCTGGCCACAAAAAGAATTGCAGGGAGGACAACAGATGGCAGCGAAACCAGTAAGGATGGTACTACAGGAGTCTAGACCAGAGACTTGTGGCTTAGACCAGGGTAGAGAAGATAACAGGAAGTGACTGAAAAAATACTGTAGTTAGAAGGTAGAACCAACAAGGTGTACGTGTGTGTGTGTGCGTGTGCGTGTGCGCGTGTGCATTAGAGGGAGAGGGTATGGAAGGAGTGGTACTAAATAGAATGAATTCTTGTGTTCCTGCCAAATTCCTTTACTAAACAAAACGCCTTCCCTCTACTCTGTCCTCCTTGGTACAGTTCCTTCCCAGTTTCTCCCCAAACTGTTTCTGATTTTGTCCTCTCCTTTCCAGTGTTTCAGGGTTTTATTTTATTTCATTTTATTTATTTATTTAGAGACAGGACCTCACCCTGCCATTCAGGTTGGAGTGCAGTGGTGCCATCATAGGTCACTGCAGCCTTGAACTCCTGGTCCCAAGAGATCCTGTTGTCTTAGCTTCTTGTGGGCGTCACTGTGCCCAGCTCATTTTTTTTGTGCCCCCTCCCCCCCATTTTTTTTGTAGAGTCAGGATCTTGCTCTGTTGCCCAGGCTCGTGGAATTTTTGAACTGGACATTTTTTGTTTGTTTTCTCGCTTTAGATAGAGTGCCGTGGCGTCAGCTCACAGCAACCTCAAACTCTTGGGCTTAAGTGGTTCTCCTGCCTCAGCTTTCCAAGTAGCTGGGACTACAGGCGCCTGCCACAATGCCCAGCTATTTTTTTTTGGCTGTAGCTGTTGTTTGGCAGGCCCAGGATGGGTTCGAACCTGCCAGCTAAAGTGAATGTGGCTGGCACCTAGCCATTTGAGCTACAGGTGCTGAACCTAGAACTGGACATTTTTTTTTTTTTAAACAAAGTTTTACTTTGTTACCCTTAGCAGAGTGCCATGTCATCATAGCTCACAGCAACCTCAAAATCAAACTCTTGAGCTCAAGTGATTGTTTTACCTCAGTCTCCCAAGTAGCTGGGGCTATAGGCATCTGCCACAGTGCTGGGCTATTTTTAGAGACAGGGTCTCATTCTTTCTCAGGCTGGT